AAAGTATCATGGGCTGTTGGCACTACTACTGGGCCTTAATGAATATATCAGCGTAGTCCACTATATGTCCTCCTAATAAAAATTGATGGAGACAGGATAAGATAATTGACTGTCCCAAGTTTCATCGATCAAGAAATAGAATAAATCTCTATAAAATATCACCAGATATTCTTGCCTAAATGTTTGTGTCATAAGATTTATTTATTATCAGTTTTCATTATGTGCTTCCAGAGCTTCTCAATGACATTTTTCACTTGCTTATTTTTGAGGGTGTAGATTAAAGGGTTCAACATAGGTGTAAATAGGGTGCAAAACACAGTCACAGCTTTGTCAGTGGGGAAGGAGGTTAGAGGTCTCAGATACAGGTATGAACAAGGGACAAAGAATAAGATGACAACAAAGATATGAGAGGTACAACTAGACAGAGCTTTGTGACGCCCTTCAGAGATATGAGTCCTTAGGGAGCACAGGATGATGACATAGGAAGCAACCAGCATGGAAAAAATGAGGAAACACAATGATCCACTGTTGGCAGCTATCAGAGGCCCCAAGGTGTGAGTGTCTGTGCAGGCCAGCTCTAGAAGAGGTACTAAATCACACATAAAGTGGTCGATGACATTGGGGCCACAGAATGGTAACTGGGCTATGAACAAAGTCTGGATCCCTCCATGCACAAATCCCAGAATCCCAGCCACCCCCATCAGGAATCCACACGTAGGTTGACTCATGATGGTTGCATAGTGCAAGGGCTTACAGATGGCCACATAGCAGTCGTAGGCCATGACACTTAATAAGATGATCTCAGCTGCCGCAAAGAAATGTTCTGCGAAGAGCTGAGTCATGCAGCCATTGAAGGATATGGTGTTCTTTTCAGAGATCAAGTCAAAGATCATTTTAGGGGCTATGGAAGAAGAGTAGAAAACATCTCTAATGGACAAACAGGACAGAAAAAATTACATGGGAGAATCCAGGGCTGGGCTGATGAAGATGATGACTGAGATGAGCAGGTTACCTGCCAATGTGATCAAGTAGGTGATTAAAAACATAATAAACAAGAGTTTCTGCAGTTCTGGATTGTGAGTGAGGCCCAGCAGGATGAATTCTGTTACATTGTTCATGTTTTTCATAGCTCAGGTTGTGTGTATATGGCCGATCTGGAAAAAAAAAACAAACCAGTATTTCTGAATGATGATATTTTAAATTCAATACTAAAATATTTCATCACCTCTTTAGTCCTGGTTTTCGGGGGTGATGGAGCTACATTGCCACTCACCTCTGCTGTTTTGCAGAGCTGTAAAGAGGAACAGAAGATTAGATTTCTCCTAATTCATATATTAATGAAATAGTGATAATACCTTACAAGTACCACAATAAAACAAGATCTTGTTATAAATATTGACTTCCAAACTTCCTTTCTGGCTCTAAAATTTCACATACGGCTTTCTTTCAGTTTTGGACAGGACAAATCTTATCAATAACAAATGTTTTGAAATTATACTTTCTTTTGTTATGGTTATTTATGGGTATATGAATCCAGTATGTATATTAGATACTAAAGTGCAAAGCCTTACTAAACCTAAGCCGCTGTGTTCTGTGATCTGTTGTCCTTTTCCGTCATATAAATGCACATGTACACAGATAGAGACAGAACTGCAAATGGAGATTTTTTCTTTTGGAATGCTGGGTAACTATCGCAATAACAACTCATTGAGGATAATTCATTCAACATCCCTGACTGTTGCATCTATCCCTATAAATGACCCCTTTTTTTCATGCTCACTCTTTCTGCATCTTTAATTGTGGCTGTGTAAATGGTGCAAAGTTATAAAATGTAATGATATTTCATAAATACATTTTCCTCTTGGTTGGATTTTTATCACATGTAGAATTATACACTGGATTAGATATATTTCCCCACTCACATCTTAACAAATGGAATTAAATGAGTCATGATGTTTTTCCCTGAGTTTTCTATTGGCAAGACAGAAATGTTAGGGTCACCTGAGATAATGCAGTTTTCTCTTCTGGCATAAGTTTGGTCAATTAAGATGAACTTGTAGTTTTCATTGCTAACTGGTAAACAACTGGAAATTTATATTGCTAACTGAAAACATTGAATATATATAAGAATGTAGATATTTTTGAATAATCCCAAGAGCTTCAAGAGTAAGTACATGTTGTTACAAAAGAACGTAAGATATTTTATTTCTTCTCCTTCCCCTTTTCTCCTTCTTTCCCTAACCCCTGGCAAAAGTGTAACCACATAGTTTTCCTCAAAAATTTCTAGAAACAGAAATCAATCAGCATCATGACCTCTGAACTTCATTAAAGGTG